ATTTTTTTTTTTTTTTTATATTCGTGTTCTAATAAAAAAAAAAGCAATAGAAACAATAGAAAAGAAAGGATAAAAAAAAATAGGAAAGATTTGAATGGTTTCGACAGACCTACTTTTGTATGCATACATGCATAAATAAATATTATGCGCATATTCATGCATATATTAAAAAATAAATAATAAAAACAATACAATATGAAACAAAAGACTATCGTACGAATTCAATAGTCTTATTTTTTTGATATGCACATACATGCGTGGTGGCAAAAATAAAATCGCAATGCAGCATAGTCGTGTTCGTTAAAAAATGATTAAAAACAAAGTCAAAATTTGGATAATATTTTACTTCATAATCATTATATTCCTTCCAACCAATTGCATCTCCTACTGATTTTAAAGAAAAAAATTCAAGAGTAGAAACATTTCTTTCTACTTATTTACTCGTTACGCAGACTTTCTCGTTAAAAGAGAAGAATACTCTCTGCTCTAATAGCAGCCTATATTTTTCTCTTTTTTATCTTTTTTCATCCCTCTCTTTCTAGTACCTTTTTCTTCTTCTTCTTCTTCTTCTTCTTCTTCTTCTTCTTCTTCTACTTCTTCTTTCTCTTCTTTCCAAAAGAATGTAATTTAAAATCTTCTTCGTGGAAAGAATAGCCAGTAATTTCTCCGTATCTTTTCGCTAGTTCTTTCTTGCACGCTTAGCCCTTCGCATTTTCGAAGAAAAGGGGATAAGTAAGGAAGAAGGGAATAGTTGTTGGTAAACGTTGCCATTCACAAAAATGGAATATATTTCTCGCGAATGAAGAAAGGAGAATATATACATTCTTTTTCGATAGAAGAAAAAAGTTATTTGGAACGATTTACAAATTTATTTGGAAATCGCGCAGAAAGCGTTATCTCGGTTCTACTACTTTGTTAACCTAACGAAAAAAAAAGAAAAAAAAAAGAAGCATAAAGTTTATCTCTTTCCGAGTGTCGCGAATTTTTCGACGTTTCTGCAATGCGAATACGACACGACCCTTTTCTCCCACGATGTGGGGGATAAAATTTCGAATCGGTCGTTTCTCCCAACCGATCTGTCACGTTGGTCCCCTCTGCCCCGTGAGGATCTATAGAAAAAGGACTACAAGAATAAGAAAAAGAATAAGAGGAAGTAAAAGTATTGGATGCGTTCTCTCGGCCGAAAGATTTTCGCGCGAAACGTCTTCGGTTGTAAAGGGGTTTGCTTGTTGGGTGGGAAGAGGAAGTAAGGGGGTTTAGAGTGGGTTGGGCGAAGGGGTTGGGTGGAATCCTTGGCCATAAATTCCGCTTGTCCTATCCCACGGGGACATGACTGAAGGTACCCCATACATCCTTCCTGCCAACGGACTTAATAAAATGCAAAGACGACGAGCACACGTTGCCAGGACGGACTGACATATCGACGCAATACCAACCTCTCTCCTCCTCCTCCTCCTCCTCCCCCTCCTCCTCCTCCTCCCCCTCCTCCTGCATCTCTTCCCCATTTCTATCGCGTGAAAAGCAAGAAAGGCTGGACGGGGAGACGTAGAAAAATCGTTTTGCTTACCATCACACACCCACTAACGCTGTTGCTACCACTTCTACCCTTTACTATTTTTTACTTTATTTACCTCTCACAAGCCCTCCCCTCCTCCTCCGCCCTGTTCCTTTCACCCACTATACCACCCACGAATATTCTCCGTTCGTACTTCATTCTCCGTGGTTTGACGGAAGTACCATACAGAATTGGCCGCAATTTTGACAAACCCTTCTCTATGTCACGTGCATATACGAATAGGCGTGCGAGCATGTACGCGATGTAACGCACGTAACCCATATATATATATGTATATATATATATATGTATTAGTATATGTTATATGCATACATAGATGCGACGCATCGTATATTGTAATATCCATTTTCCAATCGAGATGGAACGTCACGAGCATAGCTGCGATCCTGGGACGTCAACCGTAACGCGCACGTAATTACCATTGCTACCTGAGGGTGTTCCGTGCGTTCAATGAAACCGACAAATATGCATGACTCGTCCTGAATTTTCCACGTCCCTTGCAAATTCCATTTCTGTGTGTGTGCTTTCGTTCTGAATTCGAATGAAAAATTTTTCTATCAAGTTCGACACGTCTTTCAGTTTCTACTATCTCTATCTCTATCTCTCTCTCTCTAATCCTATGAATTTCAATCTAATTCATAACTACATCATACACCCCTTCATATTGATATCTAATTATTTCATGTAAAACATGATTCATAAATACATGTATATGTATAGAAACTTTTGTCTCATCCGTTATATTATATATATATATGTGGAATAAAATTGGACTTTTTGATAAACGTTTTCCTCGTTAGTACGCGTTTATCGAGGGAAATTCGAAAAGGGGTAATGCTTTGAGTTTGAGCCATCTTGTTTAATATGGCTTTATTACATAGATGGTAACGAACCGCCGGGAGGCCATTATGCGGCGATAAAATGCGTGCTGCGTGTTACACGTTATACACATATATATACTTGCGCAAACACAAGCGTATATATATATATAGAAACTCATGTTAGCTACAACCCATTTCTCCGTCGAGATCAGCACATGCGCTACAATTTACATAGTCGCGTTCGCGAGAGTAGGCAACCTAGCGGCTACTTTGTTTCGCAATTCTACACGAGATAATTCTCAACACGTTTACGTACGAGCGTGTATGTGGTCTTGTAACAAGTCCGATAATCGTTAGTCGTAATTATTTGAAATTCTCTCATTTTTTGTTATTTTTCTCTACGTGATGTTAATATCGCATTTAAAGTTAAATATTATTAAAGAAATGAAAATTCATCGTTTAGACACCAAAGTTCATTTTTCACTTAAAACAAATATAAAAAAAAAAAATTAAAAAATAAGAGAATGATATATGTTTCGATATGTCAGAGAATATCGATATCCCTTTATTTCGAGATAATTCCATAGATGTCCCTTAGGAAGAGGTAGAAGATGATGGAGAAGAAGAAGAAGAAGAGGGTTCAGTAGGAGCCCCGAGGAGACTCCTCCTGGACCCTTGTCATGTTCTCGAAGACGCTTTATCCTTATCGCGGTAGGAACACTTCCTTTCTACCATGTCGCAAGGAGCAGCAAGCAATTCCAGGCGGAACCAACGTTCATTCCCCGTCGCCATTTTTCTTCAGCCTCGCGAGAACGTTTCTAAGAAGAAAGACAGAGACAGAGAGCGAGAGAGAGAGAGAGAGAGAGAGAGAGGGAGGAAAGAAATGGGGATGAGTATAGGATAGAGGGATGACTTTCTCACGAGGGGATGTTGGTAAAGGGGTGACAGTGTTAGAACTAGCAGGGGGAATAGAAAAAGGGAAGGAGGAGGAGGCTGGGTTTAGAATGAGTTGAGTACGTGTGCCGTATTCTCCGGAAAGTCGCTGGCTGCCGAAATGTCGGGTGTCGTTGCTGTTGGAAAATTCCTTTGGTAAAACGGGCTTGGTTGGTGGTACTATGGGCTGATATGAAAGAAAAAGAAGAGTAAGAAGGGATGGAAGCAAGGGGTTCTTTTGGATTTGGTTATGCGTTGCCACGTACTGGCTGGATTTGTCGGTGTCACCTTCTTAAAGAAAATGATGCTGCTCCTTCGAACTCGTGCGAAAGAGAAAACTTACATACGTACATACATACACACTCACACACACACACACACATACATCTTTATCCTATACTTTTTCTTCTTTCATTCTATTCTATTTTCATCTTTCGAAAAGGAATGCGTATAGAAAATTTTTCACCTCTCTCTTTTATTCGCACGAGAGAATGTAGTGCGTGTTCCTCCATCGAAAGTATGCCAAAGGCTGAATTTTTTTTCGCATTTGATCCTCTGCCTCTTTTTTCGTGTTTAGAATTTATTTGAAATTTAGTCTTATCCTTGTCAACCAAAATAATAGATTAGTTATTTCAAACAGTCAAAATTCCAATGAAATATATAAAAAATTTACTATCCGATCCTTTTCAACCAAGTTAAAGAAAATTTCAGTTCTGAACTTTTCTATTTACCACGACATCCGTTAATTACGAACATCTCGCACCCTTGTCTCTGGAGGTACCGAGTTTAAAACGTAATTTCTACGTCTATAACGTTAATTCTTTTGGGAAGTGAACTTTTTCTTTTCCTACTCCAATAGCAAGTGTGGTGATACTGACACTTTCCCCCAAGATTTCTGACTTTCAAAGCGAATTAAGAAAGCTATTCTTTCGTTAAAATATTAAGTTACATTACCCAAAAATGACCCTTTTAATATCACAAGTTGCGAAATAAAAAGGGTAAAAATAAAAAGGTTCGATATAAAGTTTTGAAGAAGTTGGGGGATGATATCGGAAATCGTTTTGTTTGTTATTGTAAAGTCCTATGAACGGTACCAATCACTATCTCTCCTCTTCTCTCTCTGTTTTTCTTTTGTAAAGGGAAAACGCAACGAATCGACCGAAACCTCGGCAGGGGTTCGTAACCTTTCGCGCATTCTCTGATCTGTACGATCCCGTCCAGCAAACCCCCTATCCCTCAACATCCCTCTCGATGTTGTTCTCCTTCTCCTCTCTCTCTCTCTCTCTCTCTCTCTCTCGCTCTATCTCTATCTACATCGCCTAGCTTGTTAAACTCGGTAACGTTGCGCCACAGGTGGTGACTCTGCATTGTCTCCTCTCTCTGGCATAGCCTCATCAACGTCGACCACCTTCTATTCTGCTCCAATGGCTTATTTACGGCTTGATAATACACTCTTCTTTATTTTGTCATAAACTATTTTCAATGGGTTTGATATTATTTAAATCTCCACATATTTTGACGAATCTTACCAAATTACTGACACAATTGTGAAAAGTTTGTGAAAAGTTTGTTTAAATGAAAAATACAATTTGTTGGCCGATTAATTAATTTAATTTCTAAAATAAATAATGTCTAATAAATGTTTGTATTTTTGTTTGATAATGTTACAGGAGAGAAGCCGTACAAGTGCAGCTGGGAAGGTTGCGAATGGCGATTTGCACGTTCGGACGAGCTTACGCGCCATTATCGCAAGCACACCGGTGCGAAGCCATTTAAATGTCGACACTGCGACCGATGTTTTTCACGCAGCGATCACCTAGCGCTCCACATGAAGAGACACGTATAATCCATCGTCACCCCGAGCGGTCCTCGAAGCTGCAAGGAAATGCGACGGTCTACCGAGAAAAACGACGACATTAAGAAGAAGAAGAAGAAGAACAAGAACAAGAAAAAGAAAAAGAAAAAGAAGAAGAAAAATAACGAAGACACAACTACTACGACGAAGAAGAAGAAAAAGAAAAACAATATAAGAAAAAGAAGAAAAAGGAGGAGAAGGAAGAGAAGAAGGAGGAAGAGGAGGAGGATGATGATGATGAACAAACAACAAAATAAATGGCGTCGATCATGCGAACAAGAGGAAGAAGAAAATGATAAAAATGAATCGCTGACGACGTTTTATTTCCAAACGGGGAAACCTAAATATCCTCGTAAATTGTTCGCCTCCTTTTCAAAAATGCCCCCTTTGTATTTGTTAAGGGAATAAGAGAGTAAAAGAAAAAAAAATAGAATGAAAGATCGAGTGAATGTGTTGTATATGTGTGCGTGTGCTGCGTGTGAGTGAGCTCGCGTGTGGGTTTGTGTGTGTTCGCCTTTCGACTTGCAACGAGAGCGAATCGAACAGCTCGCTAAAGAACTTAACGAAAACAAATAGAAAAGAAGAAGAAAAAAACAACAAAATAAATGATTAATTGTTCTATCGAACGAACAAATTCGTTTCTAAGGATGAGACGCGTTGAAGATTCAAAACAGATAGGACATATTATATACGCATTCATTTTTGATATCCTTCTCGAGCTTATTCGTGAAATCTTTTTTAACGGTGATTAGATGTCTCGAAGTTTCATGAAAGAGGAAGAGAACATATGGTTACTTGAAGTGAAACAATTTTTTTTCTCCATACAAATACGTTCGTCATTCCATTAATTTCCAGAAGAATAAGAATAAGAAGAAGAAGAAGAAGAAGAAAAAGAAGAGGAATTAAACTTAGAAATTAAGGTAGATCGACGGTCATGAAATAATCATCGAATGAAGAAGAGATTAATTAATATAGTGAAAGAATATGAAATATGAAATAAAAATAAGACGAAGAAGATAGATTTCTTAGTAGACGTATGTACGATTTCTCCTGTTCGAAGATAAGATACAAAAATACCTTTCTTCGGCCTTGAGACCATCAATCACTGCCAATTAATTATGTTCTAAAATCCACGCGACCGTCGATCTTGGTATGGGAGTTACGAGAGAAAAATAATGAACAAGAAGATGGAGAGAAGGAAGGAAGGAAGGAAGGAAGGAAGGAAACGCGAGTTGAAGAAATCTTGATTCAATGGAAAATAGATAGAAAGAAAGCTAAAAAATTATTATTAATATTAAATAACAAATGTCTTATGTAATATGGACCGTCTGCCTNAAAAAAAAAATACGATCAAACAAGTTTCTTTAACTGAACTACTGACGCGGCTATAATTTTCTATTGATCGATCGAACAATCGATCTAACGCGAATTTATTTCTACTAAAACAATGCACAATAATCGCGCGAATACGTTAATCTCTAGATAAAAAATAAAAAAAAATAAAAAAAAAAGAGTAAGGACAATAATAAAATTGCAGTCTACTGGTGCCAAACGTTAGTGTGATTTTCTTTGAAATTTCATTTTTCGCTGTATAACCGTAAGTGAACGATTTAACCAAAAGAAAAAGAAATAATAAATAATTAATAAAAAAAAAAAAAAAGTAAAAAGTAAAAGTAAAAAATAGATGAAGGGATGAAGAATAAAGAAAGGGATGAACGCCTTCGCGCGTCAACGTTGTTGCATTAAATCTATTTGAAATATTTTGTGTATGTGTACGCGGCGTGTGCGCAAGCGAAAAGGACAGAGAAAGACGAAGAGAAAGAGAATAAAGTGTGGGAAGGAATGAGAAATGGGAAGTGGGGATGGGTTGAAGGGAAGAGGAGACAAATACGAAGCTGCCTGTAATCGAATACGTGATTTCTACCAGTTTTCGACGAAACCAAAGTTTACCGCGCGGTTAATCCCGAATTAACAATGCAAATTATAACGCGAACCTTCGATGCAAGCCTCCCTCTTCGCGTGCACCCCTCAGCCCTTCTCCTTTCTGTTTTCTTCTACATTAATCCCCTAAGGGATTTTCTGGGCATTCCCGAAATATTTTCGATATTGTAGAACGAAAGTTTTTCAGGAAATTTCGACCGTTCGTCAACGGGTGATTTTTCTTTTTCAAATGGACAAACACTGTTTTCTCTGTAGTCTTTTCTTATGCTTTTTATTTGTATTATTCTAATTAATGAATTATTATTAGTGCGACGATACTATATACTCGTCGTTCTTTTTTTACGAAAAATTGCAAAAAGTAATAAATATTCGTTTCGGCTAGAGAACGATATAAAGAACGATATATGCGTTTTTACGAACAAATACATACGACTTTGTACTTTTGTACGATGGCTTTTAAAAAAATGATAAGGTAAGAGGGCGAAGGACGGTCGAGATAATTAAAAAAGATCGGATAACTGGTCGTGTGTCAAGGTCGCTCATCAAAAAAGGTTATACTCGACGAGACGAGAAATAAATCTCTCATCAGAAACATATAGCAGAAATAAGTAATATATTTTTTAATATTCTCATCCTATTTCATAAAGAATAAAGGAGGAAGCAGGCAGGCGTATAATATTTAAGAAAGAGAAGAGATGGTCGAAGCATACGAACAGTATTCCGCACAAAAGATATAATTAAATAAAAGTAAATACATAAATAAATAAATAAATAAATAAAAAAGTAATGAATAAAGGAGAAGAAGAAGAAGAAGGAGAAGAAGAAGAAGATATATAAATATACCCGTCGAATCTTTCTCACGTCTCGGAAATTTTAATACTTGCGAATATTGCCTTCTTTGATGGGTGACCAAAAACAATAGGGCAGACGGTCATCTTTACGATTAATCCGTGTTTTTCGCACAAACGATCAACGAAATTGAACAAATTATGTGAATGAAAATTTCGACAAAACCTGACAAAAAAAAAAGAGAAAAAAAAAAGAAGGAAATAATTGACGTATTAAGTTGGCCAATAAATTAGTAAAGTTTTCATCAAAGTTCATAGTAAAACATGCATGAGCTTATTGGCCAACTTAGTATAATATGGTATTTAATATACACATATATATTAGGGGATCGAGGGCCCAGGACAACTCAATGGTTGGTTAGAGCAGTCGCTCGGAAAGCTCAAATCCCGGATCACGAATTCTACCATATTATTAATTACATGTATATTATTTATAAATAGAGGAAATACACACAAACACGGAACGTAGAAAGATAAAAAAAAAACAGTTTCTAAATGTTCGATCGTGATTCGAAGCAAGGCGAAACTCACGAAAAGATCGTCCAACGAATTTTAATTTCGTGTGATCGTCCAGGACGATGTTATAAGAATAAAAATAAAGAAAAAATAATAAAAAAGTTTAAAAAAAAAAAAAAGAAAAAAAAACAGAAATAAAAATAAGGAAGTACGAGTTGCTTGATAGAGAGAAAGTCGAGTCTGTTATTAAAAATAAAAATAAAATCTTCTAACTGGGACACGTGACCTCTTATTAAGAATAAGAAAAGGTATTTAATGAAGAGAAATGATGAAAGAGAGAAAAGTAGAGAGGATGATGAAGCTCAAATGAAAGAAAAAAAAGAAAAAGAAAAAGAAAAAGAAAAAGAAAAAGAAAAAGAGAATAGTGAACGAATTTCCTCGAAGACTAAAAAGAAAAGATTAAAATAAATAAAGAAAAATCTACCTGAAGCATTTTGTGGCCGAAGATTATATAATTATATATCGAGTCGAGAGGTGGTGTTAGATGCGAGATGATAAAATCGAAAATGAAACTCACATTTTAAATGTTCAGTGGCCAAATAAATTAATTGATAACGCACGTAGAATGTAAACGATACTGTACCTATTAAGTAAGTTTGACTGAAAATGTTTGTCTGTTGCGCGTGCGTGTATGTTTTCTGTGTATGATTGAAATAATACATGTGTGCGTTTGTGTGCGTGTGCGTATGTGTGTATGTGTATGCAGGTGTAGGTGCTCTATAAATGATTGCGAGATAAAAAAAAGAATGTAAGGAAGTATAGAAATAAGTACGCATGTTCGCAAAGAAGCAAAATGAAACTAAAAATACACGTCTTGCGCGTCTTGCGAGTATGTGTTTAAAAAAAGAAGAAATAATACAAAAGCGTAAAGAAAGATAGAAAGTAAGAGTGTAAAAAAGGAAAAGAGAGCGAGAGAGAGTGAGAGAGAAAGTGAGTGAAAGATCGTCGGAAGAAAAAACCACGCAAAATACTAAATTTGTATATCGTGCAATTTTTTCAGTGTCTCATTATTTGTTACCATGTTCACGATTAATTATTAATAAATAAATAAATAAATAAATAAATAAATAAATAAATAAAGATATATATAAATGCATATATATATGTACATATATATGCATTTACGAGTTTAAGATAAAGAAGTAAAAACAAAAAAAAAAAGTAAGGAATATACGATGCCAGATGTCTTTTTGATAGTCATATTGAGATATCGTGGTTGTCGTCAGGTCGTGACGCCCCCACCCCCTGGTTTTTCGCTATAATATAGTCAAGTCGAGTCGAGACGCAGACGAGACGAAAACGAAACGAAAGTACGAAGTGTGCTCGTCTTTGTGAAAGAGAAAATAAAGAAGAAAAAAAAATAATTATGAAAAAAACTATACGTGTATGCGCGAGTGAGTAATGTGTTAATAGGAGTACGTACGATCAAATAATTAAGAACGTAATGCAGCAGAACGAATGGAACGATTGAAAGAGTAAAAAACAGGGATGGAAGTATGAAAGTATGATGAAGAATAAGTCCCGTGAAGGACGGTGAAAAGACAAAAAAAAAAAAATAAGAAAAAGCAACGACGTCTTTTTTAAAGTCGCACAGTTCTCATTTTAGCTTATTTGTACACAAGTGTGTGCTAATTTTGATAAAACCGAAAGAGAGAAAGAGAGAGAGAGAGAGAGAGAGAGAGAGAAATTCAAAGGTTGCGACGGATGATAATCGGCACACGTATTATTTAAAAAAATAAAACACACACAGAAACATACACAAACACTCACATACGATT